ACAGGGAAGCATTTACAAAAATACACTCTCTGGGCTCACGTGGGCTGTGGTTTCTCCCAAATGCACCACACTCTGAAGAGCCCTTCTACTCCGTTTTTAGCATAACAGCGTGTTTATTTAGCTCTTTGGCTGAAGCTTTAAAGCCATTTAATGCAATGTAAACAAGAACATTTTGTTTGTAATTTTCTAAATGTATTACAGCCTGACTGTGTCTCCAATTAGGAACTGAAGGTTCATTTAATGATTTACATCTGGTTCCGATTTAAGGGGACTTTCCTTTTCTACTTAAGAGGGAATGTTCCATAGTTACAAATGACCCAAGAACCCTTTATAGCTCTTTGGACCAATCCTTTCTGCTTCCCAGCTGGACAGATCTTATTTATTGGGGCTTAGCTTGCTCCATATCATCACAGTAGACTCAGATCCTGTATTATGATGATCAGAATAAGAGAATTCAAAAATAACATGGATGGAAATTTTGCTGGAACCTCATAAAAAAAGATGCTAATGGTTCCTAAAACTCTAAAGAGTCTAATACAAAGGGTATAATATTGTTAACTTAGTATTTTTCTTTTTCTGTAAGTTCCAGCCAGTGAAAAATAAGTAGCAAAACCCAGCATTGCAGCGATACTTAAGTTTTATTTCCCTTTCTCCATCTGTTGCCTTTTAAACAACTTCATATGCTTCTGGAATGGGCTCTCCATTGTCTTACAATTCATTAGCATTTAAAACCTCTGGTTGGAATCCCAAACACAATTCTGCTCCCATTCCAGATTCAGCACTGTCTTCCATCTTCCAGAGTATTAAAATGGTGAGATCTCTGATATGTGAAGTTTGTTCAGTGGCTTTGGTAGGAAATGATTCATAACGCAGGTTTACGTTCCTCTGAGGATTTTTATCGCTTCTTTCAGCTTCCTTTTGATTTTTCTTCTTTGAGAGAGTCTTCCCAGAAAGCAAACTACATACAGTTCCTCACTCACCATGTATTCTGAAAATAAAGATCTGTATACTGCAGTGGCTCCTTGCTCCCACCCACACTCCACAATGGGAAAGCATGTGATATAAACACACAGCGGCTCTATTAGTCATGTCCCCTCTGGCTGTCAAGAAAACACTCAATTGCAATCTCACTAATAGCTGTTTCCCCTTAAATATTGTAATTTTCTAAGCCCCCAATAAGTCATCAATGGTTTTGTCCATTTTTCCCAGTTTGTGTTTACATTTGTTGCTGTTCATAATTATGGGCTATTATGACAACAGGATTTTTTGAACAATTGTGGCACATGGAATCCTTGCCTTCTATTTGAACCAGCTGCCTACACAATGCTGATAGCATCACGTTGGCTTGTTTTGAAACATGCATATTTGTCCCACATTTTGAAGTTTAATAGTCTGCCTCTCATCTGCTCCAGCAACAGTCCTTTAAAAATAAATAACAGTACATGCGCTCCTTCAATCTGAATATTAATTGGAAGTAAAATTCAATTTATTTAGTTTGAAACAGATATGATATTATGTTGGCACAATGAGTCAGCATAAAGGGAAAGAACAGGTGGTAATATACCATAATAACACTTTGGGATATTTTGCAGAAATTTTCTTGATGCCTAAATGTGAATTCCAGGCAGGCATGTTTGCTCTGCTGGCAATTCTTTCAAACTGTTAGAGAAGGGCTGTCACTCAGGGGCAAAGCAGTGGCCAATCCCATGCAATATGCTCCCTCTTGTAAGTTCAGCATATGATTGCATCCATTCAACCTTCATATTGCTTGTGTTTGGGATGAGCCCGAACACTTTGTCATTTTGTGTATCATAAACTGTACTTGTTAGCATGATCTGCATCTCAATATCTTTATTAGGCAAGATCATCTGTAAAGTGGAAATGGTAGGCTATGTTCAAGTTCCCTATTAGTCAAAGGAGCATGCCATGACAATTAAGAATAATGAATCTCATATTCTTTGAGTCTGTAAATACTGTGTATGATCAGATTAAAAAAAAGTGGAATACTATCCTAATTTTCTGCTCTTACTACATTTGGAGGGGGGAAGCTATATTATAACAGAATTAGCAGGAAGAACCATGTTGCTTTATACTTGCTGCTTTGAGGAACTACCTGATTTTCATCATAGGAACATTATTCTTCTCTATGGGATACATGAGGAGCTCTGGTGGCTCAGTGCCTAAGGCATTTGACTGCTAACCAGAAGGCTAAGGTTCCAAACCCACCAGCCACTCCTCGGAAGGAAGATTGGGTAATCTACTTCTATAGTGGTACTGTATCGGAAACCCAAGGAGGGGTCGCTATGGGTTGGGTCCGACTTGATGGCACATAACAACAACAACAACATGGGATATATGAGTATAGGCACTTTTTAATAGTGATCATATAAAAAACCAATGGTGGGCTAGGAAAGGCTTTGTAGATATCCCTCTTTAAAACCACTCATCAATCCCTCTGGTGAATGCAGGAAATAACTAGGAAATGGTAACTGGGGTCAGGGAGATAGACAAGAAGAGTTAGATGAGTCATGATGCAAGCAGTTGATATTTTTTGAAATAAAACTTCTGATAAAATGGAAGATGCTAAGGGAAGCACATGTGAGTCTGGAAACAAAACTTCCAGGTGAGTTGCTGGGTCTTGAGTAGGGCAAGGGGCTTGAATCTTCAGAGTGGAATTCTGTATGTCCTTGAATGAAAAATGGTCGCTACACATGTAGCTAGGAAGGGGAAGAGAATTCTGGATGATTTCTCCAGGAAATTTTATCTCACAAAGCAAATGAGTTTATAGTACTAAACAAAAAAATAGACAAAAAATATTTGTCCTTGAGTCAACTCCTACTCATGGTGACCCCATGTGCATCAGAATAGAACTTCTCCAGAGGGTTTTCAGTGGCTGATTTTTCAAATGCAGATTTCTAGGCCTTTCTTCTGAGACACCTCTAGGAGGATCTCCATCCTTAAGATTAGCAGCCAAGTGCTTAACCACTTCTTCCACCCAGGGACTCCATAATATTAGAGCTTGTCATGTGACCAAGAATACATAGAGGGGTTACTGGAGCAGAGACTGAGGCTCAGCCTGATCTCTGAACATTGTGGGTAAAGCAGGTAGTCATGAGGATTAAAGAATTCAAAGAATTGGGAAGGGGATAGGATTTATGGCTGATGGGTATGAGTTTCTCATCCAGTAGTGCTGTACGGAATGGAGGAATGAAGTCACTGTACAGTTTCATCATGAATGTCCAATCTAGATGAGGACCACACCCCAGATTTTGGAAAAAGACAGGAAACTGATCCAAGTTAGATAGAAACCATTTCTAAATCCCTGTTACATTAGGTTTTCATTAGAATCACAGCATACAATGCCAACTATCCTCTTAATAGTGAGATGGGCATTTTGACTAAATGTCCAGAGAACATCTTTGTTGTGTGTTTCCTGTCTTTGGAGATGACTGCTGCCACCCAGTGCTTCATGAGAAACCTGCGCTCTCCCATGAAGGCATTCTTTTGGGTTGGCCATCTTGAAAAGGACATAAGAACTTGTGTGGACATTTCAAATTGTAGAAGGCATCTTTGGCATGCAAAAAAGGGGCTTTGAGAGTACTGGGAGGATGTTTCTGTTTTCTAAGCAACTGTCTTTTTACCACTAAAACTATCATTAATTTCATAGGGTGTGTTAGGAAAAGAGCTGTAAGTTAAATGACATGTTCTAGTCACAGCCTTTCTATGTGTCTGCAATGTCATCTTAGATCATCCAACAGAATGGGCACTATTTGTCTTATTCTCTGCTATATCTCCACTGCTTGGAATAGTGCCTAGCATATAATAAGGGCTCCAAAAATTTACTGAATAAACAAATGAATGCATTTAACTCATCAAGTCCTGTTTCATAACCCAAAAAATTGGAATGATAATTTCCCCATATAACTATGAGTATTCAGTAGGTAAACGGGATAAATCTTGCAAAAGTGCTTTTAAAAGTAAAAAAAATACTGCATACATTATAGATGATGCTATATACTTACAAATACAGGTACTTCTAGATGGGCAAATAGGTTTAAGAGTTTTCTGTTTTTTGTATACCTTGCTGAACCTGATGAGGAGAGGTAAAGGTTTCTATCAAGAATCAAATGTGAGACTAATAGGTCATCAATGCAATTGGCATTTCACTATATACATACACATTTCAATGAATTTTGTATGTATTTTAATAACAATGCTGGTCCAATTTTCTCTTTGTGACAGTGAGACTCTACATGATGACAATGGCAATCTGGTTCCAGGTTTGAAAATATGAACTCAGCAGCACTTCTTTGTTGAGTTGGGCTGTATCCTCTCACTGAACCTTTACTTTACCTCTGTGATTCCCCTTCCTCCTCAAGATACTGTGGCTGAGATGAAAGGCATCTCACGTGGTCCTCCCTGGCCATGGGCCTCAGTTACACCATGGCAATCCATGGTGGAGGAGAAAAACAAGCATCTGGTCCTATTTAGGACCATCTAGAAATATGGTATATGAGGGATTGAATAACATGCCCCACTGGTCTTTAGGGAATGGCTAAGGGTAGAAACTCTTAAATTTTAGGTTCATTTAGTAAATAGAAAAGAGGGTTTTAATGCCAATGGAGGAAATAGTAAGTGCTGAGGAGAGGTATGGATAGTTTTCAAAATACTTTCAGGATTTTTTTAGTCTTTATGATCACTCTGGCAACATTAAGAAGTGAAGTAATCCTGGCTCTGATATGTAAAAGTTTTTCCAAAAGTAACTACACTATATAAACTTTGAAACAAAGGCACTAACATGCTATTTATGGAGGAGCAATAAATGAGTATAAAGTGATGTGAAATTTTCCTAAAGTCTGGTTCTGGTGGGGGAACATTCTCAGCCTTAGTTCTTTCTAGTAACTGAAGAATTTGCCCAAGGGCTCAGAAGTCATCTCTTTAGAGTGTATCAGTTTTCTCAAATCACATTGATTCTCATTCCATTTTGGACCCCTTCTTACCTGCTTCTGCTCTTCTCCTAAACCATCCCACATGGAAGCCACAATTTTAGAGACTTCACCAAAGGTAGCATTTGGATTTTGGCCCTTAATGGCAGCTTGGGTATCACGAAAGAACAGTGCATAGGCAGACACAGGCTTCTGGGGTTCATTGGGGTCCTTCTTCTTCTTCTTCTTGGGGGTTTTTGGTTTCTTCCCCATGTCAGAGGCAGGCCGCTTTTCTCCACCATTGATCTGAAATAAAAATCAAAGTAGAATTAAAATGAAAAAGCCCCCACCTGCTATTGAGTGGATTTTAGCCACAAATTCTGACCACAAAGTCAGAGCAAAACTGTGACCCAAAGAGTTTTCAATGAATGAGACCCTTCAGACGTAGAACATCAGGCCTTTCTTCCAAGGCACCTCTGGGTGGAGTCCAATGCTAACTTTCAGTTAGCAGTTGAGCACTTAACTGGTTGTGACATGCAGGGAATCCTAATATAGAATTACAGGGTAACTAAGAAAATTTGGGGCCAAATAAATTTTTGTTTTCCTTTGCAGCTTACACACAGACTCACCTACACACATCACACAGACACAGATGTCTCTAAGTGATACTTGGATTTGTTACTGTTGTTTGTTGTTCAGAGAAAACTCCGTATTTCATGTACATTTGGTTATTCCTTATCCAAACTTAGTTTACATAAATTTAAAATAATTTTGTTGATTCTTTTAATATTATTATTATACTATTAAATATTCTCCCTTAGCTGTCTCATCTTTTCTTTTTTCTCTTTTGCTGTAACTGTGACAGCAGTGAATTTCTCTTATGCTAATTCTATTAGATAAACAATCTGACTTGTTTTCTTCTGAGTTTATCCTGTTATTATGATTTAAAAACAAAAAACAAAAAATAGTGAGCAACATGTCCAATAAGTAAAGTTGAATGGCAATTTCACTTTGCATTTACGTCTATGGAATCTGCTGGGAAAACCTAAAATCCAATGAGAAGGGCACACTCTAGACTCTAGATCAGTGCTACCCAACA